TTCCTTGTCACACGACACGACAGTTCAACCGTCGATTTCGATGAGGTCCACTGCGTGCTCCACAGCAGAGTGATGCACAGACGGTGACTAGTGCGTGAATTAGTTTTAAGTAATACAGCATCTACCATAGTCTTTTCTCCTTCACCAAGCTGAGCCCGGTTTCGAGAAAAAGTCAAGAAGACCGGAGACGTGATCGAGCGTATGTGACTCGTGCGGCCGAAGCCGCCACTATACGAGCCATCACGCCTCTTCTAATGGGTTATCGGAAGGCAGCCCGAATAACGCCTGCCCTACCTTGATCTGCCCCCCGTGCTGGTCCAGCACATCTATCACGCGGCCCGTTTAAGGGGCAGGATTTTAATAATAACAAGAGGTTAGGGGCGACAGGGTGGAGCCTCGGTAGGAAAGGAATCTGTAAATAAGACCAGTTACAATCACCGCAACAGAAGGTGTTATTTCCGGCTGAACAACTTTGAAATTCTCTACGTCCCTGCTCCAGCGAAATTCCTGTCCGACTTACGTATGATTGTATCCCTCTTACGAAATCTTTTTTCTTTCATCTGAGCTGCGTGTCCGTGTTCTCTTCCTACTTTGAATACTGCCGCCCCTGCCTTGTTGATCCTTTTCACTCGATTGCGCATGACTATCCCAAAGTCTCCAGCAAAGTAGTACTTGAATACTGCCCCCAGCCCCCTGGTCGGCTTCCTTGTCTTCTAGCACTTTTTTCCCCAATGCTGTCGGCCCCCGGTGCCTCAAGAAAAAACTGGTTCGCCTCCCTGAGAAGAAGAACCATGACTGACTTTGTGATGGTTAGGCAACGATGCCGTCCGCTCCCGCCCCCTCGTGTTCGATTACAGCTGCACTGCTTGGCTGACCAGAACACCGCTTGACCCAGTTTTCGCGGGCAATATAGCCGCGACTGCTCCGAGTGGCACTTGAATACGTCAACTCTCCACTTCTCGGACCTCCACGAGAAAACGGACTAGAGGCAGCAATTGTTGAACTTGGTTGACTTGAACACCCTTCTTCCGATGGCAGATTATATTGCCTCTGTACACGAAATCTCCCCCCTTCCGCAGACAATTTTAGACCAATCGGAGACCACGCGAACTGCCTTCTCAAGTCATGTAAAAAGGAACCCTTGCCCCCTCTCCCATGGACGCACACTCTTCCAAGATTGGTTCGCCCTGCATGGCGGTGGAAAGTGTCCTTCCTCTGTCTGGGTTCCAGCGATTTGGCCTACTCTCTTTGTTATTGATTGTGTATGTCCAGTGTTGAGTACCTTGATAGTCGTTACCAGCGGGGTTTGAGGTACACGTTACCGCTGGATACAGAGTCAGAAGAGTCAAGAACACGAAACAGTAGGCGTATTAGTCTGAGCTTTCGAACTCGTACAGAGGGCCCTAACCAGAGACGGTGTGAGAGCAGCTAGTTCACGCCGCCTAGTTCACAGAGGTTTCACGGCGTGCGTTCGTGACCGCGCCACATGAATGTGTGCACATAGCACGGACAAGCCGAAGTGTGCCTGTTCTCCAGCTAACTGAAAACTACCATTCGTTTTTTTGTTTCAGTAACGTGCAGGTGGTTTGGAGAAAGAAAACCACGTCAAACACAAGTGGTTGTGGCACTGATATTTAGCCGGTCTACTGCCTGCGACAAAATACGCATTCAAACCAGACTGTCTTTTTTAGCAAGCGAATGGAATAGACTAAACTGACACTTCAACTACGCGTGTTTCATCAGGAATCACGCGATAAAGGTCGATTGTCATGCACGTGTCGACACGTCGACTGGCATCACGCGAGTTAGACGCGCAGAAGTTAACTGCATCTGAATTTATTTATAGGCAAGTGAGCTGGAGATGAGTTTATCTCACTCTCTCATTCCGGACACACCGCACATAAGTGACAACGTCAAGACGATTGGAGGTGGGCCACGTAGGTAGTGCTTGACATCAGCATCATCATCATCCGTGCCTGACAAGGTCAAACAGGTGGTCTAGACGTCCCACACAAGCTTTGTCTTTTTACCTTCATTTCACAGGACCTGGCAGTAGAGACCATCGAATTACTCCTACGTAACCAAGACGATCGAACGGACAATCGCTTTAGACACGCTAAAACCCTCCAATTACTGGTGTTCTATCTTAAGACGTACTTTACGTTTAACTGAACAACTTACGAGCAGATGAAGGGCACGCCCATGGGTTAGCCAATTTCCGGACTCATAACAGAGGCGGTTTTGCTACGGTTGGAGTCGCTGGTATTCCAACACCACAGGCCGAAATTCTGGGCTCGGTGTGTGGAATAAACCTTCATCGTAATCGAACGGAATCAGGTGCTGACATTCAAGGAAACTCTGAACGCCGTATTCCCAGACATTCAATTTACGATTTAAGAATAAAACAACCTCGTTTGCCGCAGAGACTGGTAGCTTAAAACCTAAATTGTTTAGGAGAGCGACCAAAAAGATGCAAATACTGAACTTCAACAGCAACACACGCTTAGTCACAAAGGCTGTTGCGTAAGAGTCCTATAACAGCGCGTTCAGACGCATGGGTGTGAAAACGAAGAAAACTTTGCTGAATTATAATATATCCGATAAGTACTGAGGGCGAATGACTACCCGTGGAACTTGTTAAACCGCCGCATACGCAAATCCAACCGGCCCTGCAGTTTGGCAAGCTCTTGCGTACGTGAACAATTTACCGGAAGTAATCAGCCGCCTTCTTACTCCAGTTGGAGTTAGGGTTGCACTATGGCCGGAGATAACCATCAAGCGCCGAGTTATAAGGCTGAAAGACCACG